TGCACAGAAGGCTGAGGGTCACAGGGGGAACCACAGCACCCTGTGGCAAGTCCCTTTCTGAGGGACCTCAAATGCCCCTGAAGGCACAGAACAAGCACCAAGCTCTGCAATTTCTTCCTGGCTCTCTCAAGCACCAGCCCAGGTGACTGTCACACAAAGAGGTGTCACCACAACCAGAGATGTCCAAGCCAGGAACCAAGCCTCACCTCCTGCAGGTCAGGATGTGCCATCACTCCCCACCCACCACACTGGGTAGCTCTCCTCCTAACTTAGTACTTCAACAAGGTGTTCCCAAAGCCTGGGAGCTCCTGGAGATCCCAGATACAGCAGATGGGACGTGTAGAGTCATCCCAGATGCCCAGCTCAGACACCACCACGGGTCACCACCCTTTCTCCAGCAGGGAACAGTTTGTTCCTGCAGGCTCAGAGCACCCTCTGCCTCCAGGCAGGTGAGCTCCACCACAAGTGATGAGCTGGTCAGTAAGAACCTTCCAAATGTGACAGTTATCCCAGCCACAATCCCCTGGGATCATCCAGCTCAGCCAACAGAGTCCAGGAGAACTCCCTGGGACTCCCTCTGGGATACCCAACCCCCTCCCTGCCTCCACAGGGATGTTTAATCCCTGCTTTGACCAAAGAGGCACATTTAAAAGAAATAAAAGACTTCTTGTCACATTCATCCAAAGTGGAAAACATCAACCCCAGAGCTGGAGCTGCTGGTGTCCTGAGGTCACACCTGTGGGGCTGCAGCTCCACACCAAGTGTCCCTGGTGCTCAGGGATGATCTCCTACAGGTCTGGACTCCCCAGCTTCTGCTTCAGCATCAAGAACTGCAAGAGGAAAAATCAACAAGTGTTAATGATTAAATCCCAGGGACCTAAAAGGAAAAAACCACCCAAGCTTTGCAGATTAGCCAAGGAAATCATGGTCCTTGGCCAGAAGATGCAGGAATTTCACCTTCCAACCAATGCAAAGAGCAACCCCCTGAGCTGGACAAATGTTACCAAAGCAGCCAAATCCCTGTGACAGCCCAGCAGCAAAGCCAGATCTAACCAGCTCTTCCTTCATTCCCTTTCTTTTCCCCAAAGAAGTAAAACAAATAAAACATTTTCACAATTAAATGTCACTTTGAGAAGGAAAATGTCCCAACTGAACCTTGAAGTCAGGTTGCAAAAAGCCTGACAAATGTGGAAGTGGAATTAAGGCAGATAACTGGGTATATTTATCAGGGAACATTCATGCAGATTGGATTCAGTCCACAACTGTTGCCCCTCCAGTTCCACTTCAACCAAACCACAACAAACCAAAAGGTTAGAAAGCAAACAAGGATGTCTCCAAGTAGAAATCAGTCTGGTAGGAAACAGTGTCAGAAAACTGTTCCAGAGTGAGGAGTGATCTAACCCACTGCAGCTCCAGAGCTTAACATGTATAAACCAATATCAATGTTGATTCCCCAGAGAAGGGGGAATTTTTTTTCCCCAGAGAAGGAAAAAAACAAAGGCACTGCCACCCTGGGATGGGGCCCTGGGGTAACTGAGCCACCCCCTCCAGCCCCAGTGCCCCCCCCATGACCCCGGGGGGCTGGAAGATCCCTCACGTTTTTCCTGCTGCCAATGGCTTGTTGCAACCACAGCAGCTCCATCATCAGGGGGTTTCTGTAGGACTCCAGCCCAGCCCGAGTCTGGGGAAGCTCCATCCTGTCCTCAAGAGGAATTTCTGCCAAGAATTGGAAGAAGAACCTAAGTGTTAGGGCAAAGATTCAAACTGCACCTCCTCCCTCTCTCCTGCACCTGAGTTGTTCCAACTTCTCCCAAGGTTTTGGTTCTCCCAGGAGCTCCTGTGCCCTCTGCACCCACCACCAGGTCCCTCAGGCCACCTGTCCCTTACCCAGGCAGGCTTCAGGGGACCCTTTCTCCAGGACAGGGGACATGCTGCTGTTGTTCTGCCACTCCTGGCTCTCCTCTGGGGCACTGCCCCCCTTTTCAGTGTGTCCATCAGCCCCGGGCTTTGGGGGGCTCACTGCATCCCCCCCTGAGCTCAGCTCCTCCTGGGCTGCAGGATCCCCCCTGCTGGAGTCCTGCTCTGCTCCAGGGGGGTCCAGCTTCTCCTGAGGGATTTCCAGGCTGGGCTGGCTCCTGGGGGCAGCCTCCTGGGGACCCACACACTCCCCTGGTGCTGGAATCTACAGGGACAACAGAGGAGAGACTGAAATAGGAGGAAAAGAAAAGATCCAACATCTATCAGGTGGTTCTGCTGTGGGACAGAGGTTGTCCCAGCCCAAAGCCACCCCGGGCACCTCTCCTGCCACCACCCCAACCTGCTTCCCATTGGGAACTTCTTCAAGGTTTTCCCTGCAGGAGTGGTACAAACATGGGGGAGCAGCCCCCAGGGGCCCCAGCTGGGGTGGGAGCTGGGGAACAGGAGCCAGAGGAGTCACCTGTGCTGAGCTTTGCCTGGAGGATGAAACCCCCCAGCAGGGCTGCAGGTCGGGGAGCCCCCCAGGCTGGGCTGGGCCATGAAATCTCACCTTCCTGGTGCTGTGCAGCTAAACGACTGACCCCCCCACCCAACCCAGCCCGGCC